AATTATTAAATACATACTTCCTTTAATTTCAAATATTCCAGATATTCAAAAAGCATTTATTATTTCTGTTATAGTTGGTATGGAAGAAAATACTGGGGGAATTAAAGATAAAACAATTGAAATTATTGATGAAGTTAAAAAGAATAATGAGAAATATTTCTGGGAATTATGTTGGGATATATTACGTTCAAACAGCATTAGTAGAAAACCATTATTAACCTATATGTTACTTAAACTTGATTGTCCAATAAAAGAAGAACAATTAGCAAATAGAGAATTAATGTTATATAGTATTTTAAATACATTTACTGATGAAAAATCATTAGTATTAAGAGACATGTTAGATATTTTATGTACAAGAATAAAATTAAATAGTGGAATATTTAATGAAGAACAATTTAAATATATTGTTGAACGAATATTAATATTATTAAATAAAAAGGATAGTGCATTAACTAGAAGGGTAAATTTTTATCTTTTAGGATTAAATGCTAAAGACCAAGACATAGAAAAAGAAAAGATGGTAACATTTTATAAAGAATATTCACAAAATATATTTGAAGAAGCACTAACAGATTTGTTTGAATATTCAAAGAAAAATGGAATATTTAACATAATATCTGTTTATGAAGAATTACTTGGTAAACAAATACTTGGAGAACAAATTATTCATAAAGTCACTGAAGACATACTTTGTTTACTTCAATTAAAAGAAGAAACAGGACAAAGAAAAGATGTTGACTTATTAGCAGAATTTCTCAAAAACATGAATTGTAAAATATTATTTGAGAGTATTATTAATCTTATTTCAAACGATAAAGAATATGCTATTAAAAGAACATTATCTTTTATCAATATATATCATGGAGATGAAAAACAAATGGAGGAAATGAAAGAATTTAAAATAAAAGTTGTTTGTTCAGTATTAAATAAATTGTCTGAAATTGTAGAAAAGAATGGATTAATTGAAAGAGTAAAAGAATGTTATGATTTAATAGAACTGTGTCTTAAAGATAAATTAGAAGAAACTGAAGAAAAAGATATTGAATTATTGAAAATAACAATTCAATCAAATAAAGTATTTGAAATGTTTATGAAAAATTATATTGCAAAAGATGATAGAATAAGTGAGACTAAATTAAAATTATTTACAGAATTTTGTAATTTAATGAAATTACTTCATGCAGAAAATACTCCATTTAAAAGATATCAAATACAAAATGTTAATGAAGAGTCTAATGAAGAAAATGAAAAAGAAGAAGAAATAGGAATTGAAGGAATTC